AATATTTACACTTACATATTTATATATAAGTATCAAAGTACTTTTTTATATAAATATATCTATTTAGTATTTTTTAGTTTCACTTTTCGATTTAACTTAAATTAACAATTAAAATATTATCATGTGTGCATATATATAAATATATACAGAATAATATATACAATACAGAGTACAGAGTGTCCATAATTACTTATTACCTATTATATATTACCTTACCAGAGTGATATGGTAATGAATAACAACAAACCAACGATTATTGGGTCCCAGACGGTTCTAAAGCCGATGTTGACTTGTGTTGGTGGCGGTCTTCGAGTTTGATGTTGACGTGGCGTATGTAAGGCTCCTATGAAAAACAAAAATAGTGCGATTACAAAGTAGGTCGATAAATGTCAAAATAGTGTTAACGGCGTCAGTACGAGCTTATACATTTGCGAAAATGGATAATATTTGTCTAATTGACTAATTCGATGGGGTTAGTTACAATGATTTTAATGGAAGTCCAAAATAAAATTAAAATACATTTTAAAACTTGTGTGTAAAAAAAATATTGTGATTTGGCCAAACGACGTTGCACAGCTATTATACGTATCGCAGCGTAATATCTTCATATACGTAAAACACTGTTTTTTGGGAAGAAACCTACTCTGGAGATAAGAAATGTAAAAAAATAATAAAATATTGTGTTTTTCTACTAAGTCGCCGCAGTAACTTGAATGACATCCAAGTTCCATCAAATTAATCTACCATGATAACCAATGCTCGACTTGACAAAATTAAAAAAAGGGGGGACTTTGTTTAAATAAAAAAAAGAGCGTCCCCAAAAATCATTATAGTTATAACGTAATAATAGTAAGGGATGCTAACATTTCTGAAAATTAGTTGGGGTACTCCGTTTCCCTGCAGCCCCTTCAAGTCGAGGACTGATGATAACCCAATATTTTCTAACTCTTTCAAATTAGAATATGGTTGCTTATTGGTACTCCTAAATTTATTTCGTGATATCCAACGTTGTCTAGATAACCTATAAACTTATATGAGTGCTGATTTGATTTTTCAAAATGTGACTTTCACAGTCGACTGTTTTACTTTTATGAGCTACTAAGTTTAACTGAGCTACTTTCAAAATTATGGAAATTTAAAGCTATGTATATAATTAAATTTCAGGAAGTGAAGTAAACTCCTAGAAAATATAATTTTTCTTCTTATTACACCCTCGTAATTTATTTCACGAGAAAAAAATATTAAAATATTAGTTTAGTCAAAAATAAGTTTCTTTGGTTAGAATTGTATGGATATTATTAGGGTCCGAATTTTAATGCAGTTTATATTTTTTTGGTTGATCATACGCATTGCTTTCTAAGAACATAATTCGTTTCATGTAACGAGGATTTCAAAGCTACAAATTTAATTTTGCATATTTCGACGTTTCTTCATTTTAAGAGCATTTTTAGTATTATTGGGTCATTTTGTCGGTGTTTAATGCATATTGTTCAATATACTAAACAAGTTTAGCAGTTTCAAAATAAAATGAAAACAAATTTTTTCTTGATATTTAAGTAGGTTTATCAGGTTTTTCCATATACATTGTCAATCTCTATTTTTCGATTCAGTTTTTATCTTATCTTAATTTATTATTGATTGTGAAACGTCACCAGTATTCGGTAAAATAACAAACAGTCAGTTCGTGTTACATCGCAGACGTTGCTCGTATTACGTGTGTTTGTGATTTTAATGTTAAAAATATTGTGTTTAATAATACCCAAAATAAAAAATTATATGTAATTTTAAAGGTCATTTTTGTGTTAAAATGCATTTTTATTAGGATATTTTTGGCTATTTTTTAAAGCATATTTGTATGGTTTTAAGGGCATTTAAATCTGGGCCGTAGATATTACATATCTTGTTATTTTTTTAGAAGTTAATTATCGAACTAAAATTGATAACATTTTTCAAATTCTTCATTTTACATATATTTTTTAATTCTTCTTTGTCTAACACATCATTTTACAAAAATATTAAGTTCAAATTTTAACTCTTAAAAGCATGTTTTTAAGACGATCATTTTCTACTCAATTGACAATACGATTACGAGTATCGCTTTTAACATTTCTCATTCTATGGTTTTTGATTTGCCTAAAGTGTCAACTTCGTATGCAGTGATTGGTTTTCATAGCAATTGCATATTGATAATATAAGAAGGAATTAACATACTAAGTGGCAAATTAATTTCGGAATGAACAGAATTTGAAATCGAATTATTATTTTTTTTTTTGCAATTCTGCGTAAGCACTCCACTTTAAGATTTAATGGTGCATATTTTACTATTATGTTATGTTGTAATTTGTACATTGTATTACTGCGAAAAGTTGAAGTGTACGTTTTTTTAATTTATTTTAATTTAAAACATCTACCGTAAAATAATTTGTACCAATAATATTTTCTTTTCGATGTTTGCTATCACGTAAACTTTATTTAAAAAATGAGGTATGAGTGGAATAAATATATTTCTGTAATGTGTTTTCGACTTTAAGAGTTTAAGTTTTTTCTTTTTTTAGGTAACTTTATAGTGCGTGTTTGAGTGGTTTTTTTTTGTGCTATGAAATCCGAGCCGTAGTGATGTGCAATTAGTAAAATTTTCTTTTACCATTTCCACCCGTGTGTTTGCCAGTGACAATCGGAGTCATCGTGGTCGGGTTTTGTCCAGACACGGGCACGGGTGGCGAGGCGTACCATTTTCTTTCGCCGTTCTCGGGGTTAATTTGTTGCGGCTTGAGTGGAAACCAAGACTTTCCTGCCGCTGACATAGCACCTGAGGAAAAAATTCGCGAGATGATAACACACGCGGATCGATAGAAGTGAAACCCGACGGAAAACAAAAAAGAAACAGAAATCACCGTTCCTGGACCGTAATTTCACATCGTATGAACTATTTGTAATTTGGACACGATAATTACAAGATTAATAACTAGACAGGTTGATTAACACTTGTTTCCATTCACAAACGTTTAGTGACGACTAAACCACGTACTCACGATTCTTTGTTTATCATGATACTTTACAAAACTTTTATAATGTTGCCATAAAACCTTCTGCGGCAAAGCAATTTATAATCTGACGGTCATAAAAAATGGTTTTCAAAAAAAAAAAAAAAAAAAATGAACTGGACTAATTCCCAATTTCTCTGATTTAGCGCAGTTTGAATAATTCGATAATATTTCCAGTATGTTAAGCGGAGTAAAACAGATGCAAGTCCTATAAAATGTTATTAATCATCGATAGGGCTCGTACATTTTCAATAAAACGCTACAATGAACGAATTTCTGTTTTGCACTTTTACATTTTTTAAAGATCAATTTTAAAATTATCCGGTTGGAAGCGAGAAAAGAATATATTATTAAAGTATATTTATAAATTGTCGGAATAGAAGTGTCCAAGTTTTTCTCGAAATCTGTACTCAATAAATTTTACCAAATAGATGCATTATTTCTAGAAATTTCAAGGCATCGACATTCAGACCCTGTATTGATATTACAATTATGTTATGTCTACGTTACCTTGGCTGTTGATTTTGGTTCCGACGAGTTTCATGCCGTCCACGTAAGGATCGGCCAGCCGACTGCAATGGGTCCCCTTTCCGGCTTCGGTCAGTAACAGGGTGGTGGCCCTGGGGTCCTGTCCAGGTTGGTTCGGTATAGAAGTGACAACGTAACACTCGTATTCCGGTACTCCATTGATGTTCGGTCGGTCCAAACGTTGCACGTACATGTACGTGAGCATAGTGTGGGTTACGTCATCACCTTTACCGATTGGTCGGTCTTCGGACCACTGTCCGAGACACTTGTATTCCCGTTCTGCGGAGAGAAGGAAAAAAAACAATTAGGTTACAAAATGTTTCAAATCTATCGTAGTTCTGTGTGATTGCCGCGCATACATGATGACGCTTAGATCGTGAATGGTGCAACCGGAAGTGCTATCAGAAGTAGATTCGATGGAAGCGAAACGAGCAAAAAGTCACCCTCTCGAGTGCGCACTAATATTATGAAGTGTTACAACCGTTGTTCAACCGTACACGGAACACGTTGCAGTGATATTGACCGTATCGATACACGATTAAAAAGAATTATATAAATTGTAATTAGATTATAAGTTCTTAATAATCGTGTATTAATGTTATAGGCCATTGTGCGGTTAACAAAATAATAAACACACCCGGTGGTATTAAACTTTTCGTTCGTTTCAAACGTCCACGCTATTTTATTTTGATGTACCACTACGGTTCACGGTTTTTAAATTCAATTTTAAAATGTTGTGTTTTTCTATACTTTTCACTCGGAGCGTACCTAGAGATACGTTCGCTTTACATGCAGTGACGAGCTCATAACCAAATTTCGGCTATTTTTACCCCCAAAAACTTGTGAGCCCTTATTATTGTTACTATTGTGAACATGATAGGTGGGTGGTGTTCGTAGTAGGGGATTTTCTAAGTGACAGCTGTGGTGGAGGTGGTGGTGGTGATGGTGGTGGTGGTGATAGCGACGCTCCACGTTCGCCGTTAAAATGACGCAAGAGAGTTTTCGTTGACGGAGGTAGGTAGCGTTGTGCGTGTGTGCCGATCCAAGTAGTGTGTACCTTGATAGTATCGGCTATCGGATTTGGGTCGCAAGCGGTTCGGCTGAGAAGTAGACGTGGTCGACCGGTAATAGTAGTCGGGAGGTTTTTGCGGCCAACGAGGTTGCAGCGGCGATGACGACGATGACGATGGCAACGGGCCAACGGTCGACACCGTAACAACCGTCTGATCGGCGTGCAGCGGTGGTAGCGGTACGGGCCGCAGCGACAAGATGCCTCCCGCGCCGACCCGGCTGTTCTGTTGCTGCCGCTGCTGCTGGTACCACCAATGCTGCTGGGCCGCCGTCGTCCAGCCGCCCATGTTGCTATTGCTGTTCGTGCTATTCCACAGCAGCGTGGGCGCGTCACCGCCGTTGCCACTGCTCACGTACACCGGACGGTCTCCGTGCACGTTCCAACCGCCACCGACGTTCGGCTGTTGCGACGGCGACGCGTTCCGCCAACCTCCGCCGGCACCGAACATCAGTGGCGACGCCTGTTGCTGGTTGTACAGTTGGTGATGGTAGTTTTGCTGTTGCTGTCTGTAGTAATAGTCGTCGGCCGTCCTGCGGCCATCGCCGTTCCGATGGCCACCGTTGTTGTTGTTGTAACCGTACGGTTCTTGTCGCGTCGGCGGCGACGAATACCACTGTAACTGTTGTTGCGGCGTTGGCGTCGGCTGCCACTGTGGCTGCGGCCACTGCGGCCACTGGGGTAATTGCTGCTGTTGCCGTTGACGATAGTAGTAATCGTAATCCGTACTGGTGCTGGTGGGTGGTGACGGGGGATAGTACTGTTGCCGTCCCCGGTCGTAATGACCGTCGTTGTTGTGCGGCTGCGAGTGCCACTGTTGTCGGTGTTGTTGATGGTCGTCGGCGGATGGTTGATAAGACCGATTGGTGGTAGTGCTGGTAGTAATGGTGATCGCAGTAGAAGTAGAAGGACTATTTGATGACGACGGAGGTGGTGTGAACGGTGTTGTCTGTCGCTGGTCCTGCGACGGCGGCACCGTTGTGCTTCCGGCGGTGACGACCGTCGGGTTGGAATCCATACTGCGAGTTTCGGCGATCGTCCTGGAGGACATAAAAGTGGCGCCCGTGACGGTTGTCGTACGGGGCTCGGTAGTCGTCGACGCAGTCGTTGGTGATCTCGTTGCAGAAGTGATCGAACGGTCGGTCGACGTCAACGGAGTAGACGTAGTGGTTGTAGGTGAATGGTGGTCATGTTGGGTCAGCGGAACGCTCGATGTTCCGTCGGATACCGGATTGTTTGCTTGCCGTTTGGTCCGACCCCGAGTTGCGCCGTGGTTGCCGGCGTATCCTCTACTAGCTGCTAACCATTAAGTGTTAAGGATACTGGTCGTGTTACGTACACTTGTTTAGAAAGTCATGTCATGTTCAGTTGTCGGATGACATGAGTTTTTGGGAAAAATTGTAAATAAATAAAGTTCGCTTCACTTGTACTATGAAACGTCTACGCGTTTACCAAACACAGTTTTACCTACGGGAACTAAGTCGTTCGCGGAACAGTTATGGTTCACGTTCGTTTGATCGACGAATAGAAAATAATTCTACCGATAGTGCACAAGACTTTTAGTTGTCTTAAAACGACACATTTTTCTTACTCGTTTCCGTCCGGGCGAAATGTACAATTATTACTTCCTTGGGGGCCGTGGTAAAAGCGGATACGAATGAAATGCATGTTATTGCAGAGGATTACTGAGGTATGAAAGTATATTATGCGGTCGCGGGTCTAGGAGTGATCTTTTCAACGCACCTATCCGTTGTATTATTGATGTGCACGTATGTATGTACAATTATTGTAACCTTTCGATGACAACGTCTTTTTAGACATTTCGTGGGTCTTTAAGCAAAATAAAAAATTTGGAATTTTAAGTTGATAAGAATTAATTAATTTTTTTTTTTTTAAACATTATATTTGATGAATATTACGATGAATGTTGTATTTAAAAAGAAAAAAATTAAAACCCGAAATACTCTGATTACGAAAGCCATTGGTAGTTGCCTAACCTGCCTAACGGTTATTATGACCCTGATCGGTGGCAGTTGAAAATGCGAGCAACAGAACTGTGCTGGACGAATCGAAATGTCGTTTATTTATTTTCGGTGCTTTTTGCCGGGTGCGCAGCGTACGACGACGACGTGTGTACCATTCCGGCATGATCTACGACACGGTGGTGCGGCGGACGCGCAGAAAGAGGTGCACGAACCAGAATCAACGGCACGCCGCGGGCAGATTGCAGATGACGTACCGGCGTCGGTGGAGGGACCGGAACGACAGACGGAGGACGAACGGTCGTGGCGGACCCGTAACAGTTGTTTGCGGGGCGATACTATCGGTCGTCGTCTTGGTGTCGGTCGCTGGTGGTGCGATTTATGCGCTGTCTCGAATCTTCCGGTTTGTTTTCGGCCAGTGATGGTAAACGGACCACGCTGGTCGCTCGCATTGCGCCACGTGTATTTTAATATCGCAAACACGTGGCTGCGGCTCGTGTTGGGACGCGTGGGGCGACGCGCAATCTTACGTAGGTTAGTGTTTTTGTGCTTAGCACGAGGGGAGGGGGGGTGTGCGCGCTTCACCACGCATGGTGTAGTATCGATAGAGATTGCACCCGTTCGTTGCGAGGTCTTTGAATTAAACGTAATTGGACGAAGACGACAACGAGGAACACAGCGATACGTTTTTACGTTTTAGTATTTTTAGTGTTTTTTGGTTTTCGAATAGTCTTCTATCGTTTCATTACATTTTTATCAAATTTCGCTGTGGTTTTTTTTTTCACTTTTTATTACATCCTTTTCTCATTTAGAGTTATACTCGTATTTTTTAGTCTATCATTTGCACGAAGTGTGTGTATTTGGGCGCGCGTGTGCGTGCGTGCGTGTGTGTGTATATAGGTGTGTGCGTGTGTTTTATACTTGATGGCGCGCAGCGGTAACGGCCCCAATCTTGAGACGGTGATCCCTTTAGGTCGGTATTCGGTCAGACTTATGTTAGGTTAGGTTATTAGGTTAGGTTAGGTATATTAGGGTTAGGTTAGTCGCCAATCGCGCCGTACGCAGCGCGCGCCTTGTTTGCGGTTTTTCACCGGTGCGGGATTGTCGTTGTTTGATATTCGTTTGGTATTTTTTCCGTGTGATATTTTTCAATTTGTTGTTTACTAACCATATTTGATAATGTATTAACATATATGTACGTATTAATAATGAATAATTTTGATGTTCGGCCTAACCCTCCCTCTGCCTCACTAACCCGTAACAAACGACAACGACGCGAGTGTCCGCACAAACTATTTTTATTGGCCGCGGTCGTTGTCCTATATTCACGCTCTCCCACCCGCCCCCTAATGGCCATTCCTTAGCGAGATACAGGCGCATC